CGGGAATCCATCGGTGCTTGATTTCGTGCCAGGTTTGATTTAAATATGAGATATGTTCATCTTGTAAAAAAGGCATTCCATAACTTTTAGCATATATGTATTTACAAGTGAATATACCGTTCTAAATTCATAGAATCGTATATCGAGGAAGAATAAGGAAATTTTTGTAAGCGGCACCAATCATCTCAATTTCCTGTCCGTCTTTTGTAGCTCAGATAACCATTCGTAGTCAAAACTAGGCCAGGTGAGGTCACCAATCCATATCCACGACTGCAAGTCAGCAAATTCGTTTATGCCACCAATGCAACATATATTAGAGTAAAACTGAGTCGTAAATTCTAATTTTTGCATTTCAAATAAAGGACAGCCATTTTCTTCGGCCACTAGTGATTTACAAGTGGCTTTACTAGTAATATATACCGAAAAAACACTCCCTTCTATTACATGTGCAAATGCTTCCTAGCCAAGCATCCAGTTTGCATTTCATCTTCTAGTGGATTATATTGTTGCTGGTCAGCATGTGGTCTCAACAAAAAGACAAGTGACTGCTGCTTAGAATGCATCTGCTGCTGCGGCGCAGTCTCAGAAGTGACATTCAATTACCCGTTATGAGTGATAGAAGAGCTCAACTGTTCATTTGAACTAGCTAGTTTTGCTTGGTTGGTTTGTTACGTCTCAGTCACTATATGAAGAGACTGAATTCCTCTAGCATTAATCAACATTTCATAAATAACGCCCGTTATCTTATTCGGTTCTCCATTACCCGATTCCAGGCTTTTGAAGGAAGATTTCAGAACAAAGTATTTCAATAAGTTTCTTTCACAAAACGAAAGTCAAAAACCGATGCATTTGTAAAGTGATTAGATTCATAGGCTACTTGGGATTGACTGAAATGTCTTTCATAAGATTGGAATCCATACAACTATGATTTCAGGAACTTGTTTAAAAATACGAGCTATTAACTCGATCAGCCTTTAAAACCTGTTCGTCACGTAATATATTTGCTAGATAAGGTGCTGTAGAGCTTTGTACTTTTTCTTGGGCATGTAGGTCCTAATGTTTTGAGGCCTCGTTTTCCTAGGAGATATACATGGATTAATTTACTACTACAAACTAACCTGAACTGAACATAAATGGTAAGTTTTAAATCGTTTATTTCCACAAGAATAAGAATCATTGATTGAACGTCTTTATGTAGGATTTTGAGCCTGAAGTTTTCGGGGTCAGTAATAAACCTAGAACATGCTGATGACATTCAGAAATATTAAGCGTGGTAACATTATGGAAGGATACGTCGGCTAATGTTGTTGAACACGTAACTATATTTTCTCACATGTTAGTTATTGACTGTTATTTTTGGATGTTGTTCAGCTGCGCTGGCCTCTTGTGTGTCAGTCAAGTATGCTCGAATTCGTCATCCTTCACTCATACGTTATTCGCCTTATATAGTCTAAGTCATCCATTATTCACTGACTAGGATGTTACATCTGTTCGCATGTACTCAGTTTGCAAATTTGCTCTCTCAGTTCGCCTGATCACATGAAATATCCCCTACGTACATCACCGAACATAAAAGTAATAAAAGAGACGTAACTGGACACTGAGGGAATTTCCAATCATTTTCTGATTTATGACAATGATATTCAGCTGTTAGGAATATTACCACTAAGATTTTCATTTTAAGGGTGATTTGTTAGTTGTACACATTTTAAAGACCCGAGTTATGATGGTTGTCCAAACCGTATGCAAACATCAAGTAGCAGCACTTGCTAAAGAAGAAAAACCATTAATTCTTTAATAATAGTATCCCGAAGTACAAGACGTCTTTAGAGGAAGGACCATGTAACAAAGTCTATTTTAATATCAAAACTAAGATTAGCACTCAGCAAGTGCTCACTGACGTCCTGATACTAGTGAACCGTGACTAAGGTGGCTAGGAGTTAATGAAACCAGTAAATTAGCATCGTTTGAATGTAAAGAAAGTCTGTTTTAGTATTTTTCATTGTTTTGACTTACTATCGATTCTAGAAGCCACGACGCACAAAGCAAAACTTTGCTAGTACTCATTAAGCCTGAAATGGTAACGTAACGCCGGGACGCAATCATAAAGAAGTCATTTGGCCTGCTTTGGCTCATCACAAAGATATTGGACACTAGAAATAAGGAAAATGCAATCATTAGGAATGCTATCCCCTTTTCCATTGTCGGTAGTGTATCCCATGAGGGTGGAACGTGTGAATTAGTTAGTCTTCGCTTGAAATGCAAGGGACAAGAGCTGCTGATTGGTTTGGTCTATCGCAGTCCAAGCTGTGAGGCAAATGAGATCCTGTTAAGCAGTCTCAATACTTGGTCCCAAAGTGGTCGATGTCTAATCCTAGGGGACTTCAATGCACCTATGGTAGACTGGGAAAATCTGCGAACTAAATCGTCGGAGAATTCTTTCGAGCAGGAACTAGTTGATGGGGTTATCACATGTGCTCTAGTGCAACATGTGAAAGAAGCGACAAGGTACGATCCGGACACTGAATCATCCTTATTAGATCTTATACTGACTCACTATGAGGATGATGTTGCGAACCTCCATCATATGCCACCCCTAGGTAAAAGTGACCACGCAGTTTTAACTTTCGACTTCCATATAACTGCCAGTCACGAGCACGCGTCAGTCCAGTCCAGACCCAACGTCTGGAAAGCAAACATACCAGACATCATGCACTCAGCATCGTTAATAGATTGGACAATAGACCCAGAGTCCTCCATTGAAACGGCCTGGGACGCATTTCGAAATTCATACTTAAAAGTTACCACACCTCACATCCCTTGGACTATACCAAAGGGGCCGAAAAACTCACCACCATGGTTCAGTAGGGAGGTCCGTATCCTTCTCCGTAAGAAAAGGAAAATGTGGGATAGATTTAGGTTACTGGGGACTGATGAGTCAAAATCTCAGTATCGAAAGGCTCGGAATACTTGTGCCTCGACCCTCCGTAAGTCTAGAAAATTGTACGAAGAAAAACTTGTTAAGGAATCCATAGAATGTCCTAAACGCTTGTATTCCTATATAAACCAAAGGACAAGGAGAAAAGGAAATATTCCTGCTCTATGGGGAGACAGTACTGCTTCATCATTAGTGGAGGACGACTTTGGTAAGGCTCAAGTGTTCTCGAACTACTTTAGCAACGTATATACCATAGAAGCGCCCTTCCCGTCAGCGTATACAGATCCCCCCATACATACACTGGATAGCGTGACCATTAAAGAACTCGATGTCTTTGGTCTGCTAAATAAGCTTGACATAGGTAAATCCACGGGGCCCGATGAATTACATCCTAGGCTACTGAAGGAATTATCTAACTTCGTTGCAAGCCCTTTAAGTACATGCTTTAACCTATCCGTTACGCAGGGTCGTTTACCAAAAGACTGGAAAAACGCCATAGTAAGTCCTGTCTTCAAAACAGGCACGAAACACAAACCTGAGAACTACCGCCCCGTTAGCCTAACTAGTGTGGTTGTTAAAATCTTAGAAAAGATTATTCGGAAGGAGCTGTTTAAGTATCTCGATAAAAACCGGATCCTCTCGGAGAAGCAGCACGGCTTCAGAATAGGTTATTCTTGTCTCACTAACTTATTAGTGGCTCGTGAAAGCTGGTGCGCTCTTAAGGACCAAAAGCTACCTGTAGACGTCGCCTTCATTGATTTCAGTAAAGCTTTTGACAAGGTTCCGCACAACCGGCTGTTATATAAGTTAAGAAATGTCGGGATTGGAGGCAATTTATTGATGTGGATAAAAGACTTCTTAGTTGGGCGTCAACAAAGAGTTCGGGTGAACTCAAAGTTATCTAGCTGGGAAACTGTGCTTAGTGGAGTGCCCCAGGGTACAGTTTTGGGGCCAGTGCTATTCCTCTTGTATGTAAATGACCTTCCTTGTCTCCTATCATCATCGGTCTTGCTATATGCTGACGATGTCAAGATATGGAAACGATACGATGTAAGAGTGATAGCTTAGAACTTCAAAATGACCTGAAGAAGTTATCTGAATGGTCTCAAACATGGCAGTTGCCGATAAATACTTCCAAGTGTGTTGTGATGCATATCGGTCATCAAGGCACAGATACATACACGATGAATAACACTGAGCTACCTGTCGTCCAGACATATAATGACTTAGGAGTTATCGTTAGTCAAGACTTAAAGACTACTGCACACTGCCGTGCAATAGCCGCCAAAGGTTTTAGAACGTTATGGTCAATACGTAGGGCTTTTAGTCATGTCGACGCTAAACGTTTTTGACTTTGTATACAGTGTTCGTTCGTCCTAAACTTGAGTACTGCATACAAGCGGCTAGCCCCTGCTTAAAAAAAGACAGTGAGCTTCTGGAAAAGGTTCAGAGAACGGCGACTAAGCTGATTCCCGGAATAGCGAAGCTTCCGTATGAATCTCGACTGGCCAAGCTGAACCTTTTCCCGTTGTCATATCGCAGAACTAGAGGCGACTTGATTACAGTTTTCAAATTGCTTAGTGCCAAATTTGCACCTGATATGCCCTCATTTTTCTTGTCTTCCAAAACAGAGAATTTACGAGGACACTCCAAAAAAGTTCATAAGCCGAGAACAAATTACTTGTCAGCTGACTATCGACTTTCCCATCGAATCATCAACGAGTGGAATTCACTACCTCAGCACGTAGTTGAGGCTCCATCCGTCGATTCTTTTAAGAGAGTTGGATCAACTGAGGGACCACCATTGCCAGGACTAACACAGGCCATCAGGCCTCCTGTCCTTCCAAAACTGAAGCTGAAACTGACAGTCTGCAATTGCTGAAGGCGCGTCTTCTTATTAAACGTTACACATTGTTAGGCGTTTTGAGCGTCCTGGTTGTCAAGCTTTGCTACAGACTATGTGCCTAATAAGTCATCAGTTTAATCGTCCGATTGTATTTTTTCCAGATCCTTTGACGACTGGATGTTTTAAGTTACATATGCTCATCATCTTGGAAAGCATATGGTTCATTCGATCAGTTATGAATTTGAAGATCAAACAGATAGACCAATATGCCAGCGATGTTCAAAGTCATTTAAGTCCCACCTTACACTGAAGCATCATACTGAAGGTATGTAGTGATGATTGATGATTGAAAATTCTATAATGTTTCCATTTATCTCAGCTTTAATCATTTCTAATAAGCTCCCTTAAGCTTCAAATCGAGAAGACATACTAAATGCACTCGAAACCATTAGGTATAGAAATAACCTAAGCACCTAAGTGTTGTCAAGCCCAACGTAGCAGCTATCATCATTTGGTGATGAAAATAAAGGTCCATGTTGTCTCTGTTAGTCATGGATATTTAATCGTAGAGATACGAAATTTCTTTGAGAGTCAAACTAGGTGTTAATACCGAGTGTTCTGGGGGGATCTAGCAGCTTCTGATGCAGTTATAAACGAAATTCCAGAGACAATCTGTGTGGCGAGATTTGAGCGAAGCTGCGGTGACCTTACGAATATCCACCTAATAATAGGATTAAATAAGGACTATACATAAGTGTGAGGAAACAGTATTATAACTTTCAGATGAACGCTAGGATTGGGAATTAAATTAAAGTATTATACCTCAGTCACCTACAACCTAAGGCCAGGCACATATGTGCATCGGTCCAAGTTGCCACACCTCACTAGCACAACAAGATGAACACCGGATTTATAGAAGTAGTTAATTCAATGGTGGTAATATATAAAAGAAAGATTGCATATAATTGCATATAGTACAGGAAGAAAGAATTAGGTCGTAGAAAGAAAGATATGAAGCGATTTTAATCTCTAGTTTAAGGGAAGACAGAGAGTGTATACATCGACGCCATTGTGATCGATTCTGAGCCATATCACCCAGAGTCTCCAACCATTGGTTATGATAGTCACGTAGACCCCAACCAAGTGATCTACATCTACCAACATGACACAGACTAGAAGTTAGTGACTTCAAGCACTGATGCCACATTTTGACTTAGCTGCCCCTAACTTTCTCCCAACCATCCCCAACACCGGTTAGCATTGCACATCGTGGTAATCGGTGTTCAGACATACGCAACACGTGGCCCAACCATCTCGGTCGATGAAGATTCACAACCTCACCAACTGGTTTACCATCGTTCCCTAATACCCTGCGTTTAACCTCACTATTACTTACTTGGTGATCCCAGCAGATGCGAGCAATATGTCCAAGGCATTTGTGGTCAAATACTAGTAGCTTACTAGTATCTTCATCTCTTAATAGCCACGTTTCGCAGCCACAAAGTATAACAGAACGAACTGCCGCGCAGTATACTCGCCCTTTTATTGATAGACGGATATCTCACCTTCGCTATAGGTGACGTAAGTTGGTACAAGCCAAATGAGCCTTCGGAATCGGTGCAGAGATTTCGTCAGACACCAACCCATTAGGGCTGATCAGACTTCCAAGGTATGTGGAGTTGTCGACGCGTTCGACTACTTCACTCCCCATCTTTAGTTCAGGCGTTGACGCAGGCCAGTTCTGAAACAACAATGCGCTATTTTTACGGGTTATTTCTCAACGTAATGTGAATTTTTCGGTAAACACCACCATACCACGCACTTGGAATTTGCCTGTCCTTTAATTATTTAAATTTAGAAGTTAAGACTAGTGTTCACTTTTGAAAATTGTCCGTTAAATTATGTATAACTCCAAAGATTACTCTCCGTAAATATAAAACTGAAAACGTGTTGGTAATAGCAGTGTTAGACTTGTAAGTTGTTATTTCGTTCACACAAATGTGAACGTGTCACTGAGTTTTACCGTATGAATGGTGCTTTTTTTGGTTACATTTTTCCCTGCACGTGTATAGGACTCGATAAGTTTTAGTTTTGTAATTTTCAATCGGTTTTCGTAATTACACGGGTTAAAGCTGTCTGCAACATAAAATGTCGGAAAGTAGTTAGAAGATTAAATTTCACTGTCAATCTTCCCATCATAAAAAGTTTAGGTGATTTATTAATGGGTATGTTGTTCTGTGATTATTTTACTATAATTTTCCCTTTTAGTCTGTTCTAATCGTAATTCGGAGCCAAGATTCTGCTGTGAGGTATGTCGAAAGAAATTTAGGACTGATATTCAGTACACCCGTCACATCTATTACACTCATTCACAACGTACATTTCTGTGTAAAGAAAAAAGTGAGTTTGTATCAATACGTTTTAGTGTGTTTCTTATTGTTTGTCTCACAAAGGCTATATAACAACGTCTGTTTTGCAAGCAAATAATTAGTTGAGTAATCAGTAAATGTAGTGAACTATGCTGTTTTCAAAGTGTATATTGTTTTGAATGTTCATAGTGGTATTCATCTGTAGTTTTATGGGTCTATGGAATAGTTGGATAACTTGCAACTCAAATATTGTGAAGTAAGGCATTCTATCTGATCATTATAGGCATATGTTTTGTCCTCAGGGATTAAGTATTTGACAGACATTGGACTGTTTGGTGAATTCGCGTATATGGTAAGTGGTTTTTAAAATGTATAAACAAGATTTCGAATGTGTTCAAAATGGACTCCGCATACTTTAGATGCTTCACGACTCGTATTGACTTATTTTTATTTCATTAACAGCAAATGAAGTCGCAGAATGAGTTCATCAATTTTTTTTTAAATATTTGTATCCAGCTTGATGGATGAACGCTCGATAAAATTCCAACGCAGAAATCAAAGACTACTTTATTTTATACCTATCCACCTTGTTTTTATACCAAATATCTCTTTGTGGTACTTAACAGTGGTAATGCATGACTGTTAACAATGAAGGATATTAAATTCTTCGCTCTTAATTTCTTAAACAATATTTCAAGAATGCTTGAGATTCATTTCTCTCCTAAATCCAATAGATTACTTCCCTCTTACATTTTCCAAGGGCATTTTTATACTGTATATATACGCTTGAGTTGTGTTCTTGTTCGTTCATGCTTCCGGGCTTCTTATAGTATATACATTAACCTCATCTGATTGTGGTCTCCCTCGAGTTAGCAAGGGTGGAACGCAGTGAATAGTTTAGCTTGTCCGGTTGTTGTGTCTTTGACTTTCGTCCTGTTCACTGGTCTAGGTGGCATTGTTGTCACTTTTCAAACACAGAAAATGTAGTCATCCTTTAACTTCAGCTGGAGTTATCTTAAAGCTTAACAAAACTCAAGATACTTTACTTAACTGTAAATCCTACTTAGTAGCTATTTCTATCAACTCTGTAGATGACTTGTTGGATAGTCCACTTTGTCTGTATTGTCAATCATGAATTCATAATTAAACTTCAATGTGTACATTTTTAATTATTATAGTTTTTAGACTGCCACTTTCATGTGTTTGAACAACCCTATCTATTGTGGCTAGTTGGTGCTTCATGTATGTTTGGTCATCTTATCTATTTACGATGTATGCCATTCAGTAAATAGATAGAAATCTAAATATAACAATTTAGCTTGTTCCTGTGCCTTAGTGTGTGCTTTATAGTAAATAACAGCTGTTGTGATTTGTTTTCCTTATAATAAATGTTGGCTCTAAAATATCTACTGAGTACCTTGTTCTCAGCAGTTGTATTTACTATTCATCTCAACACTTTAGATTTTTGTTTAAAACTTTGTTCAATTTCTTATCTCCACTACCATTCGACGAGTTGTTTATTCTCTTTGCTCCAAGAGTTTCAATCTTTTCAACTATCGTACACCTGTTGAATATTTAGTTGCGTAAACTGCACCATCTTAGTGAAAATAAAGAAAAGGAATCGCTCTCTTATTTATCAGAACTATAGCACGTATTTACTTGGTTAATGTTATCACCTGTATGTTAAGAATTAGCGTCGCATGGAGAATGTGTGTGACATCAGTACGAATGTAATGTTAGGAACTCATACTACAACAAACCTCCCACCACTACATACAAAAAGCCGATAAGTACTGACACAGTCTTTAAAAATGGAACCTACCAGGTGTTAGCAAACCAAGACATTTCTTCTTAAATAAGCTGTAATGTTTGTGGAACTTTGAAATTACTCCCTGTTAGTATCCCTGACTAAAAAAATATTCCTCATGTAGTTTAAATAGTGCCTAGATATCTATCTAGAATGTTATTAAGAATTAATATGTTATTGAGGTTACGGATTTTACTTGTGTGTTGCAAATTTGAGTCGTTCAGTACTACTCTAGTATCGTAGGTGTATAGATTAAAACGATGTGTTCAGAAACCTCACCTTCCGACCGTCTTGGTACTTTATATAAGGATTTCTTAGACTAGGGAACACCTTAAGTCACTCCTTTATTTGTACTTATTGGAGTGGGGCTGAAGAGCTTGGCCTCTAACTATGAAGTTGCAGGTCCGAACATCGTTTCATCTACTTTGTTTTGACCAGCTTGTTATTATCACCAGCCATCATAGTGTTGCTGAAAGCCGAGTACGTAGACTTGTACACTGTAAATGAATTATTTATTGTTAAAAGTGTAGATTTATATTCATATTGTTATGCGTACCATAAAGTTTCAAACTAAATACATATTTATCTTCATTTCCTTTTAACTCCAGGTTGTGGTAGAGCATTCTTATCAAACTCGCATCTTATAGCTCACATGACAACACATACGTCTGATAGACCATATTCCTGTCCAGTACAAGGATGTTCGTATCAAGCCCGTACAGTCGGTCGACTCGCACAACACAAAATTATTCACGGTCAAGGTGTGAATATCGTATTTCACATGTCCCTTATCAGTATTTTCGTGTTTATTATTATTATTATTATTATTATCAATTTTTCATGTTCCTTATAAGAGACATTACACTACATTATAGGTTTAATTGGAACTTTATTTACAAAGCTCACTACCTGATTTTTACTGCATTCTTACAGGTCGTCGTTTTTCCTGTGATTATTGTGAATACAGCGCTACCACATCTTCTAATCTTCGTCGTCATGCTCGTATACACGCTGGGGCCAGGCCATACTTATGCCCTCATTGTCCTCACCGTACTAGCGAACTAGATGCTCTAAAAAAACATGTTCTAGACTCTGGTAGGCATCCGGGTCTACCACTTTATGTGTGTCCGTGGTGTCGATCGGAGTCCAGCACAGTCTGCGTTGGTTTTAATGCTTCAAGTCTCGCATGGCGACATCTGCTCAGCGAGCATTCAAGTGAGATTATGAAACCAGAAACACTGAGTCGAATCGGTCGAGTATCCGAAAAATCGCTTTCAGAGGTAAGAGCATGCGAATCTATTTTGGTGACAAAATATTGATCCGTCATGGAAATGTCTATTCTTCATCAAAATTATCATAGCAACCAACCTTCCTCGTATCGACATATATTTTAAGCCGCAGACAATGCGAGTGATTGTCTATGGGCTTCACACCATTATTTTTTAAAATAAGAAGTTTACATATATCATTAGTCACTGGACAGTGTAGCCTTCATGGGTCATAGTATTTAAATTAAAAGTCCTTTGAATACTGTTGTGGTGAGTGAATACTAAGGTATGGTAAATCATTTTATTGTTTTACGCGAAATCAAACAGTAGCTTTGTAAAATAAAATAAAATATATACATTAATTACATCATTTACATATCTCCCTTCATTTGTCTTTTGCATACTTAATCATTTTTCCGATTCTGTCGCCCTTCGTTTTCCTTCCTCTTTTCATTTCACTTTCCTATTGGTAAGCATTCTACTTCCAATTCCTGCTACACACTATTTGTCTGTCCGCATAAATAGTGTACATTGTCGAGGTTAATTCCTCTATATCTGATTCCAATAAATAGTATGCCGTTAACTGAGTGTTTACTCAGACTAAATCTCCTAGTAGAATCATGGATTTACTCGAGATTATACAAAATCCGGGACACCAGTTGTCGAGATAGTTTATCGTTAATGATTAGTAAAGATCCGCAAGCGCGGAAAAAGCAAACACACAGGGAAACCTATGAGTGTGTGTTAAAAGTACATGTATATTTATGAACGTTAATCGACTGTGAATAAATTATTGATTGTCTGTGTGTTACAACCAATGGGAGGATAGATTAAATATTGATGGGGAGATATGCGCTCAGTCGAACTCATACATAATTTTACATAGTGGATTAAATATCTAAATTACAGCGAGTAGACAAATAATAAAGTAGTTAGATTGGTTCACTATAACATCACACCGTCACTAATGATTCAAATTGTTTGTAGGGCGTTTTAACCATTCAACCAATGGAATATGATAAAGGATAGACTCATCTTCCCTTTTTTAACTATAAGTACGCACTATTTCCTCAATTATTCTCTACGGGCATAGTCTTTTCCCTAGTGCAGAACGACAGTTATCATATAATTAACAACCTTAACCAATGCTACCCACAACTAATTTTGAAGTAGTCTGTTAGTTTTAACCATAAAACGTGATAATCCTTGTTAACCTGTAATAGTGTAAACAGTCATTTTCTTGTTGATTATACTCAACAAATGCCGTATAATAATACATTATTAGTTGACATAGATAAATTCTTATGAAAAGCGTTATGGAATCAATAAACAAAATTGATTTACAGTGACCCAAACTGTATAAGATCTATTAAGAAAGCAATAGTTGTTGATTGTAAATGCTCATTAGAGTAATTTTATCTAGTTACTAATTCATATGAAAAAACCTAAAATCGAGGTTTACGGTCAAAATTTGCAATTTGGTACACCTGTGTTTACAACAGGAAATAATTGTATTTATGTACTCAGTTCACTCCCTACTTTTAATATTATGTTAATATGGTAAAGTATGAGGTTTTAACTGTTAGTGTTAGTAATATCCATTTTGATACTACCTTTTGAGAAGAGTTTGTTGACAAATGTTAACTACCCGTTTCAAATGTCATCCTTGATTATCCCATCGTTTTATGTTTTCACCCCTTTTTGTAAACCAGTTCCTCTAGAATCAGACTGTTGGTTTTTTGAATAATAGAGTGGGAAAAAAAGCTTATCATATCTTTATGATATTTAAGCGCAATACATTTCGAAAAGTCTGATCATAGATATATTTGTGTATGTATATATTTATGTATGAAAAATAGAGGTCAACTAAACAAGTAGAGAGATAGGAGATGGAGAAAACAGTATAAACCACATCATACCTAATACTAAGTTGATATTACCTGGCTAGATTCAGAATTAGAACAAATTGTTTTTTTACGAAATAAGTGGGTTTTAATTTTTGTATAACCAAGGGTTCAATAAATATTGCGATGTGCTACTGAGCAACTCTGGAAGTGGCTGATTTGATGTTAACTCCGTGACCCAAATGAACCAAGTGTTTCATAATGTAGTACGATATTTGTCTATTCTGTACTCTTATCTCACCACTGGAATTCATCTGCTTATGTAGCCACTTAGGTATATTTTAAGCCACCTTTACATACTCATCACGATTGTTTCTCCCTATTTATATGTGTCCACATATTCAAATTGATAGACACATTGGAATGTGACGTAGTCGTTTCTAGACTCTGTACTTTTAGTTAGACTTAAACTTCTTAGGAATAACGAGTTTGGTTGTCTAAAATGTCCTACTGATCGCTAATTTATGTCTCCTCAACCATTTACATCACCTCTGAATAGTAGGGTGATATAAACATGTTTTCTGTGTGTCGGAAACGTAAAAGGTCTCATCACATTGCACATTGGCTTCGATTTATGAACTTAAATAAATGTCCATTTTGCATCTATGTTTGAGTTAAAAGCTCTTCTTCGGATAAAATTCGTCCTATTGGATAAACATCCTAATATGGCCCTAGTTTGTAGTGTACTGGACAGTAAATAACATATTACCGTGTCCATGTTGGTTTTCTACGAATAGAATGATATAATCATTGTCTATCAATTCGTGTATATTTAAGAAGAGAAGCGGGTTATTCATTTCCGTCCCACAAAAAAGATTAATATGCTTTTGGTATACATTAGATTTCTTTACAAAGTGGTTCACATGTTTACAATTAGGTCTGATCTAATCCACTTAACACTTATAAAGGCATCTTTTTAATTGAGTCTGTAATTGGTTTTTCTATATGTGCCATAAACACACCAGCTAACTATAGTCTTGAATGTTAACTTATAGCTATGCCATCAACTTGTCAAAGTACTCGCCCTTATAAGTGAATTGCTCGTTGTCTGAAAATTTATATCAAAGGGACAAATTTTCTTAATTTCAATGAATAACAATTAAGTTATCAATCAATTCAGGTGAATCATAAAATACTTACGCAACCGGTTTCACATATTAATGTCTTGACAAGTTAATGTATGATCAGGGTGTTCGAAACTTACTTCGTCACTATGTCATAGAGTGCTAATAAACTTCGTCTTATTGCATTATCCAAATTTAACAAAGGGACTAGTTGTGACTTTTAAATTTTCTGTAACTATAACTTTCCAATAATATTTTCATACACACACCTATTGATTTGTCTGTTTGGTAACATTTAATTTGCAGCGTGATGTCACTCGTCTTTTGGGTATATATTGTCCGGAAATCGACTCAACCCAACCACCAGAGAACACTGCTGTTAGGCAGCCATCTGTTTCTAGTCGCCGTAAAAACCAAAAGGTAGAAACTCTTGGTAGACCCTATCTTTCTGGAGAAAACGAATTAACGATTATAGAAACCAAAGAGTCAAATTCATCAGAAAATATAAATCCCGTTGAGGAGGATAAGATTAGATGTGAGGCTAAAAAAATGATCACATTTTATTCACAAGCCTTATTGTTTAACTTAAACCGATTATATTTTGAAAACTCATTACTTAAAATTTATGATCTTTGATGACCAAATATTAATTAAAAAATCATTGAAAATTATGGGGGTATAGATGATTTCAGGGTGATATATTGTAACTCTTCAGAAGTATATATACTCGACCTTCAAGTTTCGAAGCTAATGTCTTAAGTCACCAGGTCTATATGCAATGGATATCGATTATCGAGTTTAATGAAATTGTGCTTTAATTTGATTATCCTCCCTTGTCATTACCTATATCTATACTCCTTGTTATTGCCGATAAAGTCCTACTTCATACTAGGTAGCCGATTAATCAATAACTTATTAGCAACTGAAACAAGTATGTTCCGATCAAAATCACAGCACATTACATTAGCATACCAAAGGACCATCAGCTAAACTAAGGATAAAGCAATGTGTACATTGATACCAATCATAGTAAAAGGATTAGAAGACGATAAAATCAAATAGTGTACGAATTTAAAGGATGTTGAAATGCGAATTCATCTGAGCTAGTGCATGAACTCTGAGGTTTGATAATTGAAAGTGACAAGCATTAAGCACTGTTTTCTGATGGTTATCAGTCGGAAACCTTATAGATAGATGGTTATTAGTAGTCGGCAACTAAAAACTCATGAGCAACTAGACCATTGTTTTGTCTGGATAGGAATTCATTTTTAATTTCTGTCAATTCTCGATGTGACACAATTATTATCCATTTTCATCTTCTATAACTGTCTCCTTAAATTATCAATCGGTTTGTGTACACATTCAACTCCGTGATACAAGTAGACTATATATTTGTTTTACTGATGATATTTTCAACCCTCTCGAAGTCAAATTTCTTAATAGATACTGATTTGTTAGTAATTTTTCTTACATATTTCAAACTCTCTCGACATATAGAGAACTTAAAATCGGTGTTAGTGTGGCGTGCAAATTTTCTTATCATGCTAATCAGTTATTTTTCTCGTAAAATTATTACGATCGTAATACATGAACTGATCCTCACTACCCACTCATAACATTCTCGTTAGTTTTTATACTGTGAAGTATGTATGTATATAACTGGAGGTCAAAGTATTTTCAGTTGTTTCACGTAGCTCTGCGGAATTACATCTGCGTCGGAATTCGAGAGCGGTTCTGGATGACGATCTTTCTGGAACTCGAAAGTCCGGCGTAAATCTGCCCAACCCTCCCTGGTTGTTAACGATTATTAAACCGTTACCAAGTTTTCAGTCACTTTCTTAATTTCGGAAATTCCCAGTAAGTTACATTATGTGTTGGTTCCCATCCCTCTATTGTATCCAATCAGTAAGTTATGAGTTGAATGTGTATATTGATCCCAGTTGTCACACATCACAGCAGAATTATCCATACACTAATACTTACTTGTTTCCGTATAGTTTGTTCCGAGACTAAAACCACTTTTGTAAAACGAAGTATTATCTGAGATACCGGTCATTAATAAAAATCGCTTGAAAGACTTTTGTTTTGAAAATCCTGTATAAAATTTTGCTTTCTTTATCTATACCAATTGCTTAACTTTATTTCTTATTTCCAGCTTCCCCAATCCCTATAAACTATCAGAAAAACGACGCTAATGATGATCTATCTTTTTACAATCTTATCCAAATTGGTTCAGGGGCGATTTGGTCACGTAATACGGCACAGTATACTGTAAATAATTTATGATATGGACTTTAAATGAATCTCTCATAATTTTTTAAATTTTTCTCAATGAACCAGAATTTGCGTATTATCAATCGTGCTCGGTACATTCTATGCCAGCCAGTCAGCTACAACGTAGGACCAGGCACATATGTGCATCGGTCCAAGTTGCCACACCTCACTAGCACAACAAGATGAACACCGGATTTATAGAAGTAGTTAATTCAATGGTGGTAATATATAAAAGAAAGATTGCATATAATTGCATATAGTACAGGAAGAAAGAATTAGGTCGTAGAAAGAAAGATATGAAGCGATTTTAATCTCTAGTTTAAGGGAAGACAGAGAGTGTATACATCGACGCCATTGTGATCGATTCTGAGCCATATCACCCAGAGTCTCCAACCATTGGTTATGATAGTCACGTAGACCCCAACCAAGTGATCTACATCTACCAACATGACACAGACTAGAAGTTAGTGACTTCAAGCACTGATGCCACATTTTGACTTAGCTGCCCCTAACTTTCTCCCAACCATCCCCAACACCGGTTAGCATTGCACATCGTGGTAATCGGTGTTCAGACATACGCAACACGTGGCCCAACCATCTCGGTCGATGAAGATTCACAACCTCACCAACTGGTTTACCATCGTTCCCTAATACCCTGCGTTTAACCTCACTATTACTTACTTGGTGATCCCAGCAGATGCGAGCAATATGTCCAAGGCATTTGTGGTCAAATACTAGTAGCTTACTAGTATCTTCATCTCTTAATAGCCACGTTTCGCAGCCACAAAGTATAACAGAACGAACTGCCGCGCAGTATACTCGCCCTTTTATTGATAGACGGATATCTCACCTTCGCTATAGGTGACGTAAGTTGGTACAAGCCAAATGAGCCTTCGGAATCGGTGCAGAGATTTCGTCAGACACCAACCCATTAGGGCTGATCAGACTTCCAAGGTATGTGGAGTTGTCGACGCGTTCGACTACTTCACTCCCCATCTTTAGTTCAGGCGTTGACGCAGGCAAGTCCTGGAGCAACAACTTGCATTTAGAGGGGAAAGAACGAATCCCAAACATTTTGGCATTGTTGCTCAGTGCTATCAATGCACTCTACTTCATCAGCGTCTTTACCAAACAGGACTATATCATCTGCGTCAAGAAGTGGATCTTCTGGAAGGAGACCAATGCCTGAGAATTTAGTCGGTCTGTGCTTTACTTCTAGCAGTAGGTCTATGATGATGTTGAACAAAAATGGGGAAAGTGGACAGCCTTGGCGTACACCACTTGAGGTTGCAAAAGGAGATGACAGTTCGCCATAAGCTCTGACTCGACTAGTAGTGTTCTAGTAAAGAGCCTTATTGCAATCTTTTATATATTACCACCTCTGAACCAACTTCTTTTATGAATCCGGTGTCCATCGTGTTGTGTTAATAAGGTATGGCAACTTGGACCGATGCATAAATGTGCCTGGTCCTACGTTGTAGCTGACTGACTGAAAGAGCCTTCACAAGGCTTGTAGTATTTCTGAGGTACGCCTTTCAATTACAGAAACTGCCAAAGAATGTCGTGGCCTACAGAGTCAATTACTGCTTTTAAGTCAAGAAAGACCACCATTCTCGGGCTCTGAATAGTATGCCTGTGTTCTAGAACCCGACGAAAGGTGAATGTGTGATCGATGCAGCCACGACCAGGTATGAAGCCAGCCTGATTTTCTCGTGTTTGCAGCTCACGAGCCTTAGGCGTCCGATAATTGTTAACTCTAGTATTTTGGATGCTATATTAGTCAAACTAATCCCTCTATGGTTATCACAGGATGGTTTTGACCCTCTCTTATATATTGGGACAATCAGTGATTGTGGCCATTCAGGTGGGACTACTTCCAACTCACAGATTTTGGCTGAAATATTAGTCAACGTAATCGCTAAAATTGGACCACTATCCTTAAGGACCTCTGGCGCTAATCCATCTCCGTTTCAGATCACCTATAGCTTTCTGAACTTCAGCCAGCATCGGGGGGCCATTTCAACGTTTTGAGAATGGTGGGTAATTGTAGAGTAGTTGAACTGCTCCTTAAAATGTTCCGCCCGTCGTTCTAAACGTCTTGACTGAGAGTAGATAAGAATGTCGTCTTTTTTCCAGAGCGTCTCACTTACACATGACTTCTTAACTCCAGTTTCTTTTATTAGTCTGAAGAGCTATCTGGTGTTACCTACAGCCTCTACCTTTTCCATCTCTTTTGCTTTCGTTGCTTACGGTTGTTCCTTAGACTTTTGCTTAACCTAGATCTGATTCGTTTTCACTCTTCATCGTGTTCAGAGCCTGATGTGATGAGTTTACGAGAATCCATCAGTGCAATAGACTTGGAGTAAATCCACTGGTTTTTTGTAACCCTTTGGTTTAAATCACTAACAGATGTCACAGCTGTTTGTATATCTTTCCAAGCAACATCTGGGTCAGCCTCGTTTACAGAACTACCTAATTGTTACATCAGTTATTCCTGGAACCTACTTTTGGTTTTCTCGTCACTCAATTCAATTCTAATGGGTCTTTTTACTGTGGCTTTTCTGCGTCTAGTGAGGCGCAAGCAGATACGTGCTCCTATTAGAGCATGATCGGAATCCAAGCAGGTACTCCAGAATGAGCGACAATCTTCTATCGACCATCTCCAACGATGACTGATGGCAATATGGTCTATTTGAGTCCATCGTTGGTTTGGTGCAGGGAGTCGCCATGTTAGACGATGTCTCTCGTTATGTTTAAAATTTGTGTTTGCTAAAAATAAATGATTGTCTGAGCACAACTGCAGCAGATGATCACCATTATCTGTTCGCTGAGCCGCAATACCAAAATGCCACCTAAATGTCTTTCTGTTTGGTTTAAGCTACCTATCTGGGCATTAAAGTCACATACTACAAGTTCTATGTCTGAGCGTTTAGCTTTCTGAAGAAGTCCAGATAGCTTTCTGTAAAATTCATCTTTCATTTCATCTGAGCTGCAGTCAGTGGGAGCGTAGGCAGAAACGACAAAAAGGCAACGACGTGTGTCCCTATCCTTCCAAGTTCTTACGGAGCCGTTTAGCCTAATAGCATATAAACGACTGTTAACGGGGATCCTCTCCAATAATGCTTGTTGCTTTTAGTCTTACCGCTCCTCAACAGACCTGTCTTGCACTCTGGGACCTTGAGGAACCATTGTTCCACGAGTGTAGCGCGATTGGTTCATCACTAAAGGAAAGTCCAACCACCACATCCAGGTAGCAACACCGGTCAGGACATTCTGTGTAGGTTATACTAACTCTGTAATCCTACTTTACGACGTATGCAGCAAGCCATAGCTTATCAATTAAGAAGAAATTGGTTATATATGAGCATTTGGATATCATCGAAACCGAAATATACTAGTTTTTTACTAAGTAATTGATAGGCTGAATCGTTACAATTATGTACATATATTACAATGTTTAAACTGTCTTTACTTGTAATTAGATTAAAATTACAGTGGGGACAGAGTGGGTTGGAGAATGCTGGTCAGCGGCCTATGCTCCATTGGGAGTAACAGGCGTAAGTAAGTAAGTAAGACGTTTTCTAATAGTTTCTGGGTAAATGGGAATTTTCAGCATTTATTCCAACAAAGGAATAACAATTAAAAGTAATTCAGACCTTTTTTGTTAGCGACCATAAAGAACTCAATATGCGGAAAACTAAATCAAAGAAGGTATTTCGAGTGGACTAAGACAGTTGATAAGGCAGTATAACTGTAGCCATAAAATTACTAATGAGTAAATACGTTTATAATTTTTATCGATTTTAGTATATATAGTTAGTACAAAATGAGATCTTAGACGACAAATTCAACGAAAAGATTGTCAATATACTTATACGTAGATAAAAATATATAATGAGACATTAACCGGCTCACTATTTAGTCTAAGTTAACATTGAGTCACATTAAGTTTGTAATATTTTCATAAGAATGGTATCTTGTTAGTCTATTTTATAAATCATTAAGTAGTTAGGTCATTTATCAGCAATCCATAAAGTAGCAATTTCTGATATCAACCTTTCATCATTTTCAACTTAATAATTAGATGAATATTTTATCACTTTGAAACCCATCCCATGCTGTAGTGTCTGTCATCGGCAGTGAAAACAAATAACCGTTTTTTGGTACTCTTTCGAAACATGAGTTCTTCGCAACTGTGATACTTTGGGTTATCAGCAGTATAATCTTGACTTCAATGAACTGTGTTCTGGTGGGGGTTCTATACATGCCAATTTCATATAACTATATACCAGTATTGCTTACAATAACCACGTGACTATTAGGCACATTGATTCAATTCATTTGGTTTCGTCGTACCCATTTATGACTAATTCTAAACCCCTATCCGTATAATTCACCGCAGAACTGTCTGTCTTGTATTAATACGTTTGTGTACAACAGTAGGGATTATACTTCCTACTGCTGCTACGTGCCTAATTCGGATCGTCTTGAGTGCTGGTCTCTCCGCGATTACCGGAGTTTTTATTGAACACTTTTCGGAATCACCGGTCAGTAGCTTAAGTACAATTATATAGCTTTTCACAACTATTTCTGGGTTATTCATATATAGAATCTGTTGGTTACTAGATATTTTTCTTTTCCGTACTTCAGATCATTTCAGTGCAGTTCAATTCCCGAGCCGTTAATATCCACAAAAATATTTCATACGAACTAAAAATTTTACTACGTCCAGTACCTCCTAATACCTCTCTTATCTACATGGCTAACCCTTCTCACGTCTCTTTATCATCTCGCACCGCTAGGGCAAACGATTCGAGTACGCGGAACGCTATTCCTGGTCTCCTGAAACCACGCTCTAAACTACACGTAAGAGCTTTTAACGTCCGAACACTGTGCCAAATAGGACAGCAGGCTTCCTTAGCTAGGACTTTAGAATCCCGCGCCATCGATGTGTGCTGCGTCTCCGAAACGCGCATACAGGATCCGAGTAGCGTCGTTCATCTGACCTCACC